GAACCCAGGGCCTTGCCTGTGCTAGGAAAGCACTCTATCACTGATCCACAACCCCAGCCCACATGTTGAGCTTCTTTATTTTATTTGTTTTTATCTTTATGTGGTGCTAGAGATTAAACCCAGTGCCTCATGCATGCTAGGCAAGCTCTACCCCTGAGTCATAACCCTGGTCCCATCATTTTGAGCTTCTTAACCTCTCCTTTCTGTTACCTTGTACCTGCCAGTTCCATCCTGCCTTAGGTCTTCCTGTGTGCTCTTACTGCTGTCTGGGGTACTCCCCCACAGTCACCCCACTCATTCTTCAGACCTGAGCTTCAGTGTTTACACCCTCAGAAAGGCCTTTCCTGAGTCCAGCATGATGGTGTATGTCTGTAATCCCCTTGCTCAGGAGGCTGAGGCAGGAGGATCCTGAGTTCAAAGCCAGCCTCAGCAATTTAGTGAGGCCCTAAGTAACTCAGCGAGACCCTGTCTCTAAGTAAAGTATAAAAAAAGGCTGGGAATGTGGCTTAGTGATTAAACACCCCTGGGTTCAATCCCTCTTACCACCCACCCCACCCCACCCCAAAAAAGGCCTTTCCTGATCCCACACAAAGGAGGTAGCATTTTATCACCTATTTAACTACTTAAGTCGTGTCTGTTTCACTGCTGTCCTCTTAGCTCCATGACTGTGGGCTCTGCTTCCATCCTGCTCACCACCATTTCCCTTGTACCTGGCACATAGTAGTTGCTCAATAAATATTTGTCTTTTGAATGGTTGCCTGGGATCATAGGAAGGAGACCACTCTCAGCAGAATTGGAAAGGCAGGAGAACACAGAGTGGAAAGGTGGAATTGAGAGTCTCTCAGCCCCACCTTTATCTCAGGGCCATCCCCAAGCCACCAGCCCCTGACTCTGCTTAACCCTTCCTCCTCCCCTGGGTGCCTTTGGAAGCCGACCATCTGGCTTGAAGCCTATTTGCATATTGTCTGGGCCTCAACAAGCTGAGCAAGATGTCCCTGGGGGTGTGTTTCAGGCCAGGCCGAGTGGTCTTTGCAGCCTGAGAAGGAAGCCTTGAGTTCTACCTCTCCCCACTCTCAAATTCAAGCATGGGGGAACAATACCGGTGGTGATGTGGTAGCCTCACCATGGAAACCGGCTATCAAAAATGTGGGCAGGCCTGGGTTGGGGGGTGGGCAGAGGAGGGAGGGAGTGACCTCAGCAAATAGGAGCATCATGATAAATGAGCCAGCACCAGGCAGCAGACTCACCCCTCAGCCCACCCCTCGGGACTCCATGATGGTGCCATCACGTGGATGACCCCAGCATGACCACTGGCCCTCCCCCACCCCTAAGCCTATCCATAATGGAGCAGACATGCCCTCCTTTTGGAGGGAGATAGGGTTGTGGGGGTGCAGTCTGTGGTCCCCAGTCCAGGCACTGCCCAGTGCCTGTTGTTGCCTCCACACACAAGCACAGCCCCACCCGCAAGCTGCCTGATGGATGTGTCAGGTCGTGGCGGCTCTATCGAGCGGCCACAAGACATATGGGCCAGAGGTCCACCAGACAGTGCCAGGTGGAGGCCAAGGGGATTCAGGGCCAAGAGAAAGCCTCTGGAAACCAAGCTTTGGGGAGGAGCCTCCAAGAGTCCAAGTGGACTACAGATAGCTAGAGACTGTACTCGCACACATGCCTGTTCCAGGGACTCTGGGGATTCCAGTCTGTTTATTTTATTTTATTTGTTTTGTTTTGGTGATGGGGATTGAACCCTGAGGTGCTTTACCACTGAGCTACACCTCTAGCCTCTTTGTGTTTGGTGGTACTGGGGACTAAACTCAGGGCCTTACGCAGACGACGCAAATGCTCTACCCTGAGCTATATCCTCAGCCCTTTTATTTTTTAGGGGTCTTGCCAAATTGTTTAGGGGCTTGCTAATTAAGTTTGAGGCTAACCTTAAACCTGCAGTCCTCCTCGGCCTCACTGGTGACTGAGATTACAGGTGAATGCCACTGGCAAACTCCATTGTTTAAAAGGAGGAACTACAGGAGTGGTGGCGCATGCCTATAATCCCAGCAACCCAGGAGGCTGGGTAGGAGCATTGCAAATTTGAGGCCAGCCTCAGTAATTTAATGAGACCCTGTCTCAAAAAATAAAAAGGACTAGGGGTATAGCTCAGTAATAGAGCTTACCTAGGTTCAATCCCCAGTACCAAGTAAATAAATAAATAAAATTGGAAGGTAGCAGCCTCAGCTTATGGACACTATGCCTGTTTATAGGCACAGGCCCTGTGTTCTGCTGGTGTACAATCTAGGGGTGTTGGTGCCCAACCTCGAGGCTCAGCACATCTTGACTACAGCCTTCCGCCTGGGAAGGTGGTATGCAGGCCAGGGAGAGTGCTTCCAGCCCTACCCAAGGCCGCAGTTGCATGTGAGCTGCGCTTCCAAATCCACATGGAGCACAGAGCAAAAACCTCTTCATGTCCAAGCAATTTATAGAGCCAGATCCCAGTGTGCTGTGGCCTGGCACCTTTGATCCTGAGGTGACCCAGCCTCTTAGCCTCCGTGTGAGTACACAGAGACTGGTGGCTGCTCCAGAACACCAGATCCACAATGAAGCAGATCTTGGTGTTCAGTTGAGCAGGAGAGGCCCTTTTGACCCTGAACCTCTTGCGTCTTCAAGGTAGCCATCCCCAGTCTTGAGGGCTCTGGAGGCAGGGAGTGGCGGAGAGTGATCTGTCAGTGTCCCTGGCTGGTGAAGGATCCTTCTCTCCCTGTGCTAGAGGAAATTAACTGATGTTATCAGCTCAGTGATTGTTTTTCTCCCCTCACAAAGGGAAATATATGCAGACCCTTCCAAGAGCAAAGCCCAATCCTCTCCATCTAGGACTGGCTGGAGATGGAGGTGGAAGGGGCTCTTCAGGGCCCTCTCAGAAGCCTGGCTGGGGCAGTCCAGATCAGCTTCCAGGACTTGTGGGTGGGGTTTTGTCTCCCAGACCTTAAGATGTGACTGTCTTGAGTCCCTTGCTATAGGTAAAGGCTAGTCCTTTTTCAAGCTTTCAGCAGGGCCAGGGGCCACTTTCAGTGAAGATCTCTCTGAAAAGTCATTAACCTCTCCTAATTCGTTTCCTCATCTTAAGAACCCACAAATTCCTGGACCATCCCAGCCTAGTCCAAAAAAAGCCTTGTAAGCTCCCACATGCACTCCCTTCTGGGCCAGGCAAGGTTTTGGGACCCAAGAATCATTTAGGTTTGAGCTGCCTGTGGTGGCATACACCTGTAGTCCCAGTGACTGGGGAGGCTGAGGGGCAGGATCCCTTGCTACTTAACAGATCAAAAATAAGTGCTCACATTGGCTGGGCATGTGGCTCAAGTGATAGCGTGCTCGCCTGGCATGCGCAAGGCACTGGGTTCGATCCTCAGCACCACATATAAATAAATAAATAAAGATATTGTGTCCGCCTAAAACTAAAAAATAAATATTAAAAAAAAGTGCTCACTTCAGCATCACACTTTCTAAAATTGTAATAATACAAAGAAGATTAGCATGAACCGGGCACCATGGTGCAAGCTTATAATACTAGCAACTCAGGAAGCTAAGGCAAGAGGATTGTGAGTTCAGAGCCAGCCTCAGAGCTGAACCAGGTGGCGCATGTTTGTAATCCCAGAGACTCAGGAGGCTGACTCTGGAGAATCACAAGTTTGAGGCCAGCCTTAGCAACTAAGCAAGACCCTATTTTTGAAGTTTTAAAAAGTAGTAAAAAGGGCCTGGGATGTGGCCCAGTGGTTAAGCAACCCTGGGTTCAATCCCTGGTAATAAAACAAAACAAAAAATAATCACCTGGGTTTGATATTAGTTGTGTCTTCCTCTCCAGGGGACATCCGGAATCTCCTCATCTGGATCAAGAAGAATTTGCTAAAAGAGCGGCCAGAGCTGTTCCTCCAGGGAGACAGTGTGTGAGTCCCTTCCTCTCTTCCCTGAAGAAGACAGGGTGGGAAGGACGTCTGGGCCCCTATCCTTGGGTTCAGTCTCAGCCTCCTCTAGGTCCTGTTCCCTCTTTGTTCTCCCTGTCTCCTCTGAGAAAAGAGCTATCCAGTTCTGTCTGAGGTCGATTTTCAGTTTTCTTGATACCACACTAGACTGTCCGGAATTTGTTAAAAGCCCTCACAAGGGGCCGGGGACACAGCTCAGTTGGTAGAGTGCCTGCCTCTCATGCACAAGACCTGGGCAACACACACGTGATGAAAGGAGCCTGGTGAATTTCTCCAAAAAATCCAGTTACACCTTCTGGCAGCCACAAACTTGCTGTGAAATCTGAGGCAAGTTACTTTGCTTCTTTGGGCCTCCATTACTCTCTATATACAGAAAATTCTAAGAAAAAGATGCTGCTCAAGGTCCCTCTTGTCATTGAACTATCTAGGACAGTGCTATCCCATAGAACTTTTTGCAGTGATGGAGATGTTCCATATGTGTGCTGTCCAGTGTGGTAACTGCTGCCACATGGGGCTGTTGAGCTCTTGTAGTGCAGCTAGTGTGAGTGAGGAACTAAACATTCCATTTTATTTCATTATAATATAAATAGCAACATATGGCCAGTAGGTACTATATGGGACACACAGGTCTCAGATTCCAGGGGTCATTAACTGCATGCATGTACCCTCTCAGGAACACACATTTAATCTCTCATTATGGATACCCTATAAAAGTCCAAAGCTTTCCTACCTCTCTCACCCAGCCTAGCCCAGCCTGATGGCAAAGGACCAGCTTCCATGTGCCAGGGAGTCACGTCACTTCTAACAAGGCCTCTTCAAGCTTAAGTAAAAGAGGCAGGTAACACAGTTGTGAGGCTCCTTCAGTTCCTGAGGGCTAGGGGTGCCCCCCAGGGCCTCTGGTTCAGACCCTGGTGCAGCAGTCCCAGAGGCCACCTGCGAGAATAGCAGTGCCCTTTGGGCTACTGCCAGTAGGAGCCAGCTAAGCTGCCTTGTGGATCTGAGGTAGAGCTACTCTTGAGCATTCAGGTCCCGCTGGCAACCATCCCTGATCTATAAGAGCTAAGGTAGCCTCCTCTCAAGGGGAAGCATGGGCATGTGGGGGGCCTTGAAGCTGGAGTTCTTCCTATCTGGGGCCTAAAATACTAAGATTAAACCCCAGGAAAAGTATGCTGCTTCTCCAGTTATCATGACAGTGTGGCCAGCAAGCCCTTTGTATCTCTTTGCATCCTTGGGCACACCTGTGACTCAGGCGCCTGCTTACCCCATTTTCAGATGAAGAAACAGATGTGCAGCTGGGTGCAGCAGCTTATGCCTGTAACCTCAGCTACTCAGGAGGCTGAAACAAGAGCATCTCAAGTTTGAGGCTAGCCTTAGCAGCTTAATGAGACCTTGTCTCAAAATAAAATCCAAAAATGGCCCTGGGATGTAGCTCAGTGATAGAGCACTTGCCTATAACATGCCCAAGTCCCTGGGCCAGTCTCCAGTACCACTAAAAAAATAAAAAGAAACTGATGTGCAGAGAAACAAAATAATTTGCCTAAGGTCTGGGTAATGGTATTGGTACTTGCATACACTTTCCATCTGGCCCTCAAGACCAGGCCTTCTGACCTGGGTTCCTTTACCTGGGTTCCTCTACTTTTAAGATTTTTTTTTTGGGGGGGGAGTACTGGGGATTGAACTCAGGGGCATTCAACCACTGACCTGTGAGACAGGGTCTCACTGAGTTGCCTCTCTTTTGCTGAGCTGGCTTTGAATTCCTGATCCTCCTGCCTCAGCCTCCAGAGCCACTGGGATTATAGGTTGTGCCACTGCGCCTGGCCTGGCAGATATTTAACCAAAACCTCAGAAAGAAGGGCTGCCTCTTCTCCTACGGCCCAAAGACTCTAGAGTCTTCTGCCTTTCAATCCTTGCTACTTATGCCATCTTTTCCACAGGCGACCAGGAATTCTGGTGCTGATTAATGATGCCGACTGGGAATTGCTGGTCAGTACCTCAGCATAGGGGGGGTACCCCTCTCCCAGCCCCTACCCCTGCTCTCCCAGCCCCTGCTCTCCCAGCCGCTGCTTCAGTAGAAAAGCTTTGGGCCTCTCATTAAGCCCAGATAGGGTGGCTGGATAATCTCTGTGCCACTCCAGCCCCTGAACTGATGCTACTCAAGTGTCCCACCCCAAGTGAGGAGAGAATGGGCTGCTTGGGGGGGGTGAGTGTGAGATCTAGGACCACCTCTAGACTTGAATGTTGATGTACAGAGCACCCATTTCAATTGGCAAAGTCTGTCTTTCTAAGAGCAGCAAGTCCTCCCTGGTTCCCTTCCCAACACCTGGGGAGAAACTAGACCGTGTCCTGATGGTCCCTGTCCTCTCTCCTGCCCCAGGGTGAGCTGGACTACCAGCTGCAGGACCAGGACAGCGTCCTCTTCATTTCCACGCTGCATGGAGGCTGAGGGCCCCTCTCTTCCTCGGCACCCTTGCAGGGGGAGAACGGAACAGACAAACATCCCCTTGGGCCCAGCCTTCAGGTCTCCCTGTCCCCCGTGGCTGCCTTCTTCCCTGCTCTATCCCCCAAGCTCCCTCCAGGCAGGGAAAAGAGGCCAGGTGCTAAAAATGAGCCTTTCTCAGGCACGTGAGCAGGGGAAAGCAGGCAGTCAGGCTCCTGAGCCCAGAGCTCCTTCCCAGCAGCTGAGGTGGGGGAGGGTGCCCCTCTGGTGTGTCAGGAGCAGAGGGGGGCCGTGTGGCCAGGTGACCCAGCTGCCTTCCATTCCTGTCTCAGTCTGAGCACTGAGTGACTGCCAATGAGCACTCCAGCTCATGGCCACATTTGTGGAGAAGATGGATGGACCTGAATAACTGATGGGAAACCCCTCCCTTCCCAAAGACTGGAGGAGTCTCCGCCTCAGTTTCCCCATCTGGACAGCAGAGGGCTCTGTCTGTCCCCCACTGATATCATTATGGAACCCCAGCTGGGGTCCCCTATTCAATACTGACTCCCTCCCCCTCACCCAGCAGCTGCTATCCCAGCCACACCCCTCCTCCTGCTCCCCCCACCCCCAGCCCTTGACCCTGGCTGGCCTCCCCCACACACACAGGCCACCAGATGGGCTCCTGAGACCCTCACCAGGCTGTCTATAGTTCATTCTTCTGTGGGTGGAGAAGAAGAGGAAGTAGCCCAACCTCCGATTAGCCAATAGAAGCCTGGCGGGGGAGGTTCAATGTGCCTCAGTTTCCTTCTCTACACTAACTGAATATTCATAATACCTGAAAGCCAAGGATATATATGATGGCACAGATGTAAAGTCTATGTCCCTTCCCACCTCCTGCAGAAAGCAGGGTCGGGGCAAGCAGCACCTGGTAGGCAGAGGGGTTTACCCCCTCCCTCTGTCTGTTTTGGAAGTCTGGGGTCCTTGGGGCCTGCAACAGCTGGCCTTGAGCAAATAAAAGACTAGGTTGTTTACTAGCCTTGCTTGGAGCTTCTTCATCAGAAATGGGTGGCACCCCAGTTCCCCCAGCCAAAGCCTCTGTCTGATATGACCTCTCTATCCTCACCTAGGGCTCTCAGCTGCGCTTTAACCAAATGGCTAAAACTCAAGCTACCCCAGAGAGGGTAGTCTGATAGGACTATCTGGAAAAGGAGGTACAGAGCCAGTCTGAGTCCCAGGACATCCCCACTGGTCTGTCCAAGACCAGGCTTTGTCCCACCAGCTGCATTCAGCAGCCCCAGAACCCAGAATGGGAGTGGCATATATGAGAGTCCGTTCTCCTTCCCGTGATCTGGCAGAAAGAGCTTTGTCTGCTGGAGGGAGACCTCAAAAAAGAATTAGGGCACTATCATCCCACCCCAAACATTGCTTTTCTTTAAATGTCAGTGATTTCAGGTGGAATTTCTCCCCCTGTGGAGACGAAAGTGCCCAGTGTCCCAGCTGTGTTGGGAAGAATGTCGGGCACACATCATTCTCTTAGAGAACAGATGACCCCTGGCTGGTGGACTTCTCCCCAGTCCTGCTGCAGTGGTGGCCCTCTAGGCATGTGTGGGTGGGAGCATCCATGTTGGGATTACTGGTCCAGGCAATACTGGGTGCAGATTAAGGCCAGCGTTGGGTCTGAACGCTGTCCATAGAGCCCGCATGACCAGCCCTCATTAGGTGCTGAGGTCAGAGTCTCCATATTAGGGAACAGAGTAAAGGACTTGTAATGGCCCTCACAGTCTCACTTTTAGAGGGTCAGCTTGTCTAAATTCTTGTAACCTGAGGGTCCCTCCCTTTCTCCTGTTGGGGAGCTTCAGGAATGGCCTGTCCCACTTTTCCTGGAACTGACCACACTAGGGTTCCTTTCCGCTGCTTGCAAAGGGTGTGGAATGATATATGTGGGGTATCCCAGCCTCCACCACACCCCAGTTACTGCGGAGCAAGAGAGGGGCTGGAGAAATCGGGTGCTCCCCACAGCTGATGCCAGCGCCACCATGGAAATTGGCCAGGGATAAGGCACTTCAGGTCATTTTTAGCCTATAGCCCAAAAGGAGTCAGAGACAGGTGACACTGGCTCAACCCAACAGCTGCCAGTGGTTCTCCTCCCATGCAACTCCCTGACCCCAACTTTTGAGGAAATAAACGAATAAATAAACCCCACTATCTCCGAAGATTTTTCTTTAATGAAAAGGATTCGTTTGTCCAAGTTATATTTCCAAAGCAGAGGTGGTTGCCCGGCTGGAGCCCATGATTCCCGAGCTTCTCGGACTCTAGCAGCGGTTGGAGGAGGCTCAGTCCATCCGTCCGTCTGGAGGGGTTTGTGGGAGGGGTTGGTTGGCTTGGAATTTAGGGGCAGATTTAGGATTTTGTTTGTTTGTTTAGGGGATACCGGTCGGGGGATGCGATAGAACAAATTCAAAAACGAGTTAACGAGCGCGTTCGCCGGCATCTGCTTTCACCCCCGACTTCCTGCGGCTCTGGCCGAGGGCGGGCTCCCAGACCACATTTGGGTCCCGCTGCTGCGTGCCAGCTTCGTTTGGGCAGAAATTTTAAAGGGGGGAAACCGACGCGATCTACTGGAGGACCCCGCCAGGAGGGACCAGTCACCCGCAGAGGAGGAGAAGGAAAGAGGATGAGGATGGCGACGGCGACGCTGATGGCAGGGATCGGCGTCCCTCTGCGCGTCGAGCTGGGGCCGCGATCCTCACACTTGGGGCCAGTCAGCCGCCCCCATCCCATCCTCCAGGGTCTCGGCTTCCCTGAGCTTGGTCCCTGCATCCCCCAACCCCTGTTGCGCCCAGAGCTCAGCCACAGATGTCCAGCCACAATTCTCGGTTGGCCGCAGACTCGTACAAGAATTGCGTTTGGACAATCAGTGGCGAAGCCCCAGAGTTCAAGGCCCCGGTCTCCTGCGGGTTTCCGCTTCGCTCTTTTCTAAAAACGCCGGACCCGGAGATCTCCGGAGCTGCCCCTCGGAATACCTCGCAGACGCTCAGCAGTCTCGCCCCATCCCGCGGTAAGGTGGACGAGCAGGCACGCGGATCCCAACACAGCACGGGGATCCCCATCACCCCTGGAGTGTTTCCTTCGAACGCGGCCCGGGGTCCCTGGAGTAGACCACGCTGGGTCTGTGCCGCCCCATGTTGGGCAAATCTCTGCCAGGCCCGGGGAACCCCGACTCCCCTCTCCCTGT